GAAGGCATTCTTATCTCTTCTAGCTATTCTCTGGAATTCTGCATTCAATTGGGTGTATCTTTCTCTTTCTCCCTTGCCTTTTGCTTCTCTTCTTTCCTCAGCTATTTGTAAAGCCTCCTCAGACAGCCATTTTGCTTTCTTGCATTTCTTTTTCTTTGGGATGGTTTTAGTTGCTACCTCTTGTACAATGTCACGAACCTCTGTCCATAGTTCTTCAGGCACTCTGTCTATCAGATCTAATTCCTTAAATCTATTTGTCACCTTTACGGTATATTCGTCAGGGATATGATTTAGGTTATAACTGAGTGGCCTAGTGCTCTTCCCTACTTTCTTCAGTTTAAGCCTAAATTTTGCAACAAGAAGCTCATGATCTGAGCCACAGTCAGCTCCTGGTCTAGTTTTTACTGACTGTATAGAGCTTCTCCAACTTTGGCTGCAGAGCACATAGTCAATCTGATTTCTGTGTTGACCGTCTGGTGACGTCCATGTGTAGAGTCGTCTCTTGGGTTGCTGGAAAAGAGTGTTTGCTACAACCATCGTATTCTCTTGACAAAATTTTGCCAGCCTGTGCCCTGCTTCATTTTGTACTCCAAGGCCAAACTTGCCTGTTATTCCGGTTATCTTTTGGCTTCCTACTTTAGCATTCCAATTCCCCAGGACGATAAGGACATCATTTTTGGGTGTTAAAGAAGGTGTTTCTAGACGGTGTTATAGGCCTTCATAGAACTGGTCAACTTCACCCTCTTCAGCACCAGTGGTTGGGAATAGTCTTGGACTACTGTGATGTTGAATGGTTTGTCTTGGATTCAAACTGAGATCATTCTGTCATTTTGGAGATTGTATCCCAGTACTGCTTTTCCTACTCTTTTATTGACTACGAAGGCTACTCCATATCTTCTGAGGGATTCTTGCCCGCAGTAGTATACCTGATGGTTATCTGAATTAAATTCACCCATTCCTGTCCATTTTAGTTCACCGATTCCTAAGATGTCAATGTTCAGTCTTGTCATCTCGTTTGACCACATCCAGCTTGCCTTGATTCATGGATCTTACATTCCAGGTTCCTATGGAGTATAGATCTTTGCAGCATTGGACTTTCCTTTCACCTCCAGATACACTGGCAACTGAGTGTCCTTTCGGCTTTGACCCAGTCACTTCATTCTTTCTGGCGCTACTAGTACTAGCCCTCTGCTCTTCCCCAGTAGCATACCCCTTCTGACCTGAGGGGCTCATCTTCCAACGTCCTATCTTTTTGCCTTTTGGTACTTTCCATGGGGTTTTCATGGCAAAGATACGGGAGTGGGTTGCCATTTCCTTCTCCAGTGGATCACGTTTTGTCAGAGCTCTCTGCTATGACCTGTCCATCTTGGGTGGCCCTGCACAGCATAGCTCATAGCTTCATTGAGCTACGCAAGCTCCTTCGCCATGACAAGGCAGTGACCCATGAAGGAGCAAACTATCTGGAGGGCCACAAATTGCCCACCTGATTTATATTAAAAATAATCTTACTGGTAAAGCCATATGTGCTAATTTACTACCGATAATATAAACCATTCCTAATATGTTTCAAGTATCATGTTGTGGAATCCTACTTCATGTACATGCATATTTGACAAAGAACAATTCTTGGGCAAATATATTTGGATCTTTGTCCCTACCGATGGTGGTACTTCTTTTTTAAAGGAAATACCAACCATTCCTTCTAAACAGTTCTTTTATGTTATATGGTGAAGGCGCGGAACCAGCCAGAGTGTAAGAATCAGATATGCCTTTCCTCTTTTCTGTAACTAAGACCAGCATCAAGGACACACAAACTAATCAGTTCAGAAGATGCATCAAGAGTTTGAAAACCCATGCGATAAAGTCTTGACTCAATTACTCAGTCACTTGTATGCTAACAGAATGCCATGTAAAGTGAACTGAACATAATATGTTCTCATTTCCACAGCACTCTTTCCACACTGGGAAGACTCCTTAGAAAGTACTTACTGTCCCACGGGATACCAGCGATGTTTTGTTGTATAAAACATTTTACTAAGCTCTTCAATTGTAGGACCATTCTTGTTCTTGAGCTCCTCTTTTTCCAATCTATGTTTCAGCACTTGATCATGTGTTTCTTCTTTATATTCTACTGGATCTCGTCGTGGAATGGGCTGCCAAAGATGACCATACACCAAATTATGAAACACAGAACTTGGTTTTCTCACTTCAAAGAGAAGCGGTAAATCAATGCTTCCAGGAAGCTCACTGAGAAAACATAAAGTTACAAGGCCTTCTGCAATATTTTGCTCCATACTCATGATTATTCAGAGACATACTGCTTTTAAACTGAGAGGTACCTTTAAGATGGATATAGCTGTCCTCTTGTGGCCCTGAATTCTATAAACTAATTTACTCACTATGAGTGAAGTATGTTGTTTTTCTAAGTCTACTGCAAACCAGTTTTCACTACTGCCATGCTTTCTCCGGGCATTTTATCCAGATGGCCATTTTCAACCATCTAGTAAAGCATGTGGGGAGGAAAGGAGACTGTGGCATTGATAGGAGCTGAAGTACAGAGATGGCTCCAGCTTCCTCCTCTCCCTGCACATTGGCACATTCCATGTCCTGCTCTCCTAGGTACATCTGTATTTTTGAAGTGGCAAGATTATTCTTTCCAGGCTAACTGTAGGAAGGATGGACTGAGGGATGGGTCCAGCATCCCAGCAACAAAATATACATGTAAGCCTTTTTTTGTATGTTCTAATTTTTAGGAATGTTTCCGGTCAGGTTTGAAGCATCACTCTCACTATGGCTTGTCCAATCCTTTCTATACACTTTTTGTACCGGGACAAGCTTAGGCCATTGACTCACTGGGCCATATGCAACACTTTCACTCCACTCACATCATTGATTTAGCACTAGAATAAGTGGTCTACAGTGCTAGAGCAATAGCAGAAGCTGGCACACTGGGATTCCTTGCAAAAACCAGCCATGTCACTCATTGGCATTGTACCAGATACAGCTTGAGCTGGCTCTAAGTCATAAGCAAAGCAAAGCAGAACTGCTTTGTTCCACTTGGGTTTCTTATATATGCACTATCTATGTAGCTTTAGTACTAAGCACTCTAATCTGGTTGAGCCTTCTAGCACTAGTATAGACACACTTCCATCAATTTCCCCAAACCTGATGTCATCCAAGGTTCATGCTGCCTGGGACTGATTGGAGGTGTGGTCCCTCTCTGTGTGTCCCTCTCTAAGTGTCCTCTAAATTTGTATTTCTCTTAGGACACTTTACTCTTTAGATAGTGGCCTTATTTTTTCTCTGTGTTCACAAACATACAAGCAGTTTTGAGCACAAGAGTCTTTGTATCTTCTAAATTACAATCATATGAAAAAAATAACTCCCAAACACATATACTTTGAGGTCTACTTAAGGTTCATTTCCATATAAACCTGGAAGATGCATTTATGTAGGTTCACATACTTTTGTGTGTTCATATGGAATATCCACTGAAGGGTGAAAGCAAACAATCGTCTTCCCATCTGATGTTACAGCAAGTTCCACTTTGCTAAAAAATAAAAAAGCTTATCATTTTATTTGCATTTGTTTCAATTAGTTTCATAACTGAAAAATAGAAGAAATACCTGGAACAGAGGTTATTTCAAGTAACACATTTTTATTATTTCTTGATGAATTCTTTCATATTACAGTAATTTTTTTACAATTCCTTCATATTAAATGTTATTCCAACAAATCAAAAATGTTCGCCAGCTGTCCAGTAATGTAAAATGTGTCTTTTCCCATAGACTTGTAGATTGTTTCATTTTTATAATTGATCTGGCTCTCACATAATGACAACGCATTGCCTCAATAACCCGTGGTCTGTCATGAGCAAGAAAGGGTATTTGCCGCGTTCACTTTTACTCCACAATCTACAACTGGCTCTTTCGTAAACATTTCAACATCATGTTTAAACTTGGACTGGCTGTTAACCCCTCATTTGTTGTTGATTAATTAACAGTTTTGTTGTTTAGCCCCTAAACAAAATATTAGTCTGGGTTCAAATGTCATGGTCAACAGCCTACAATGGAGCCAGTTTTAAGTTGTTGAGTTAAAGTGGACCTGTTCTTTCCTACTCGTTCCCAGCAGCTTTCATGTGCTAAAAGGCTCATTAACAATATTCACTGGGACTTTCTGTACACTAACATGTGCTCTGCCAATGAGCTGCAGCCTGTGCAGGCAATTATAGCACTCTCAGTGTGCTATCTGCATGCGTGTCAAGAACATTTTTTGCTAGACAACATGGTGCCCATGCTTCAGTACACACAAAAGTACTTTCACAAAGACACACTTCCATGCCTCTTCCAGCAGCAAGAGGAGGATCCTGGCAAGAAGCATTCAGGATAAAAGCCAACTTCAGTAAAAGCAATGGGATATTTACTATTCATATCAATGTACAGTGAATGCAACTATTCTGCAACTACTGAATGCAGTGAATGCAACTATTCTGCAGTTCATGCATTGGTTATGAAAAAGCTGCAACTCTGAATGTTTTAAGCTAGCTAGAGCTGTTCCCTACCCCACATCAGTCATCTGAAGAAAGAAGTGAAGGGTAATTCCCTGCACCTGGTATTATGAAAAAGGTAGGGGCTGTAAGAGGGTAATGAGAACAGAGAATCCCCTTCTCATCAGCGTTTTTTGCTCCACTTACAGAAGGCCACCATAAGGTGCAAGCAGCTGCACTGGTGCAGTGACAACCCATGCCACGTTGAGCCTAATGGTGGAAGCTGCTTGAACACAGTAAGGCACTGCTTGGAATGACTCAACCAAAACTACCTCAGCAGCCTATCAGTGCATTAAAATGACTCTACTTCTAATACAGCAGCAACCATTATAGTGTACCAACTTGCCATTAGACAGACTTTTGAAGTGAACATTTGAGTTAAACCGGAACGGCTTAATTCTTACCAGTTATAGTCATCAGGAAGAACTGAATATGTAGATTTGGGGGAAGCACAGCACACAGCTGCATCTGAAAATACAAAAGCCAAGTCAACTGACCATGGCGGAACACACAGTGCAGTGTGGCTCCTGTTGAACAATCCAGGAAAAGGTACACACGAGTTTCGCAGTAAACCCGTTAAATGACTTTTCAAAGCCTCCTTCATGGCAAACCTTCCATATGTGCCTCTCCAAAAAGCAAACAGAGCTGTCCTCACAGCAGCCTCCCTTAATCTAAAGGCTACACTTCCCATCTTCCCCAGCTAGCACAGCCAATTGCACAAAAGGTATATAGCTCAAAAGAAGAGGTGCTGTAAAGCAAAGAATTCTACCAGCATTGGGTGCAAACCGGAGTTGTTACTCAAAAGCCGTAAGTTGCTGATAGGAAGCAAAGCACAGAGCAGTTTACCACCTCTTTCTGCTTTAGCCATGGCTTCTCCAGCAGCAGCCCACAAAATCAGAGGGGCAGAGGAGAGAGAAGGGATACAAGCATGTATAGCTGGATTAGGCAAGGCTAGGTAAAATGGCCCTCTGGGATGCTGGGTGTACTCCCTGCAGCAGCAGTTCTCCCCCTCAGTAATTCCCTGTGAGTTCTTGGAAGAAGCAAGGGGCCAACACAAATAATGGGGAGGGCTCCAATCTTCTCTTCCCCAACATGTCCCACTGCTATGCCTGCCACCTAACCCTGAGTGGCTGAATTGCTTGCTTGCCACTCAGGCATTTCTACGCACAATTTAGTTGCTTGAGAGGCAGCCCGGTTCTCCAGGCTCCATGGACAGTGGCCCAAGCAGGCAGCTCAGCTTGATGGGAAAAAGTTGAAAACAGAAAATATTTCTCTGCTTGCACAAGCTGAACTCCACTGAACTAACTTTGCTACAACGAAGCACTCAGCCAAATACATCAGGGGTTTCCAGCTAAGCCAAGATACCTAGTTCCACGGCAGCCACTGCTTAAGTAACCCCTCCCCACCCCCACATTAGGGTGTTTTCAGAGGACTTGGTTGCTAGGGACTCTTTTGTGGCAACTCGGAGACTTACAGGCCTGCCAAACCAGGTTTGTCCGTCTGCCAAAACATTCATACATATACACATACTCACAGAGTCTGCAATGCTTACCAGGTATCAGAGCTTTCCTGATAAAAGCGGCAAAACGGATCCATATAGTTCTAGACAAAACAGCTTTTCTTGATGCTATGGCCATGTTAGGAGACAAAAGCTGCCACTTCGGGGTGGTGTTTGAGGGAGTCAACACAATTCTGTCCAGGCATTAGCACTGTTTGGGAGGCAAAGGATTGTTAGTACTTTAGTCAGAGAATATACTGAGGGCACCATCCTATGCATGTTTAGATAGGAAGAAGTCCTACAATTTTCCGTATTTACCAGCCAGACTGAATTTTTGTCTAAGCATGCCTAGTATTGCACTCTAGGTGAAAAATATCTAAGTTAACTGGTGTGTCCTTAATGAAAGTTCCAGGCTTTATCACTGAGCATTTAACTATGCAAATTCTGTGCAATCTTTCCATCATTATTTCCCTAGAGAGTTCATATTGATTCTGCAGATAGGAAATTCCTCTCAGACTCAGTCCCAAAGGCCATACAATCTGAATCAGGGCATTCACAAATAAGAACTACTGAATAAACAAGAACAAATTAAACCATGAAAGACAGGGCGCTGAACATCTTTCGGCCAGAGAGTCACATTCAGTTTTGGAAAGGGGTGGGGGTGCATTCCAGGGCTGGACAGAGCTAAAGATAAGCAGGGCAAGATGAAAATACCAGCATATTTTAGCCTGAAGCATTTACTGCCACGAGCTAAACCTTCAAAGGCTCTTCAGATTTCAAATGGGCAAAAAGGGATGTGCAAAAGGTGGATAATTCTCAAATAATTGCTAGTGATGGAAAAGGAGACATGGCCACCAGGGAATCCCTGGAAGGGCCAGAGTGGGACTCCCAGAGGGACAGATTTGACCTACCAGCCTGAGTTTTAACATTGCTGATACAAAAGCTGTTCCCTTTTTGGATTGATTTTAAATGCATTTTAAATGTTTCTATGTTGCCCTTCCATACTAAGTAGCCAAGGCAGCTAACAGGATGAACAATAAAAATACAACAATCCAAAAGGAATGTTATAATCTAAACAAACAGAAAAGCACACAGTGATCAAAGGGCTTCAGACACATGCTTCCATAAATTAAAGCTTTGCACCAACACAGCACAGAATAGATACCAAACAGATCTTTCACGATCACCCAGAAATGTCTGGAGTTGAACTGTGCCACACTCTTAAGCAGTCTTTTTCATCTTGGTGTCCTCCCTGGGCAGGAATGGGATCTCTAGCACAGCACATCTGCAAGCACCAGATGGAGGAAGGCTCCTCTTGTGCATCTTGTTCCAAAACAGAAGATTAGCCAGGGCTGGACACTTGGATTATTATCCAGTTCTGGCAAGATTCTTTTGAAAACACGATCTAACAGTAATATTATGTTATTACATTTAGTCATTTTTGTGTCAGATCTGTCCATTTATGCCACAAATCAGTACTTTACAAAATAGAATATACATTAATGGGGACATAAAATCTGCACTCATCTTTCAACACATAAGATTTGACTCAATTAAAATAATTAAGAAAACTAAGATAATTAGTTTTCCTAGTAGACAAATGGAGGTAAGAAAAGTTATTCTGAGTACTAGTTTTCCTAGTAGTCAAAGAGAGGTAAGAAAAGTTATTCTGAGCCACTTATTACTTACTGAATTACTTGGCTACTTAAAGAGTGGTGGACCTCACCAGCTTCCAGACACAGTACTGTTTAGACACCCAGAACTGATTCAGGAAAAGAGCTTCTACTTCAGATGTGGGGATCCCCCTCTGATCCCCTTCTCCCTACTTGAAACTTCCCTCCATTCAACTTGGTGGGGGAACCTTGGAAAGAACCATAGTGGCTGCTTCTCTGAGATCCTCCTTTTTTGCCAGCCACTTAATTTTGGGTGGCAGCAGCAGTACATCAAAGAAGTTCTTGATGGAAGACCTTTTTCCTTGGCCCAGTTAATGCAGTGCCTTGCAGAAGTGTCATTAGTCAATTACTGATAGATGCAGTTTTGGCAGCAATTACAGATGTAAACCTTCTTGTCTCCATCAGTTCTGTGTTTCTCTTGATCCTGCAGTGTTTGCCCATTCTTTCTGGCAAAGCTGTTGAAGCTGTTCGGTTGGATTAGGACAACTGGGAATCAGCAAGTTTCATGTTCTGCCACAGATTCTCAATCAGGGTGTTGCTTGGGTCATTCTAAGACACTCAGGTTTCTGCTTTTTAACCACTCCGCTGTTATTTTGTCTGTGTTTATGGTCACTGGTCTACTAGAAGGTGAACCTCCAGCTCAGCCCCAAGTCTCTTGCAGATTGAAATAGGTTTTCCTCTAGAACTACCCTGTATTTGGTGTCATACATCTTTCCCTCCATCCCGAACAGTTTCCCAGTGTCTCTGCCAAGGAAAAACATTCCCACAACATGATACTGCCACTTCTTGCTTCACCACAGGGATGGTGTTCTCTGGCCAAGGAGCACTGTTGGCTTTGTGCCACACATAATGTTTTGCAGCAAGGCCAAAAAAAATCATTTTTGGTCTCTTCAGACCAGATAAATTCTTTTGCAAATGTTTGCTGTTTTGTGACACACAACTTTTTACTAACTCCAAATGGGCCTTGATATGGGTTTGTTTCAGCAATTGTTTTCTTCTTGCCATCTTCTGTAAAGCCCATCTTCATGGAGCATCCAGAAGGTGGTTGTCCCAGGTATGGTTTCTTCTATTTCAGCTGTAGATCTCTATAGTTCCTTCAGAGTTACCACTGGCATCTCTAAGTGCTCCTTACCTACTCACTGAGTCTTCATGAACAGTCTTCTCTATACAGAGTTGTGGCACAGCAGTATTCTTTCCAATTTGTAATAATGGATTTAAAGGTGGTCCAGGAGATATTCATAATTTGGGATTGGCACTGTATGCCAGAGTTGTTTGATAAGTCCGTATTGTCATGATGTGGATTGTTTAGATATGCACTCCAGGAAACTTTAGACCTTCCACAGACTGCTGCACTTAATTTCAGATTGAGTGGCACTGAGTTGCACACAGGTGGGTTCCATTCAATAGGATGTGACTTCTGGCTGCAGTGGGTTGCATCAGACTTGGTCAGCAAAGCAGGTGCATAAGAATACTTATGCAACTAACAAATGTAGGCTCTTTTTTTTTTACTTGACTTTGTGCCACAATAAAAATGATTTGCACCTTCACAGCGTTGGCCATCTTGTGTACATCAAGTGGCAATAATTCTGAAGAAATAAATTTCAGTTCCAGGCTGTAATACAATGTAATGTGGAAAAGCCAAAATGCACACATGTGTGAATCCTTCTGCATTGCACTGTACAGGAGAAGGCAGTCCTTAAGGTACTTGTATCCTAAGCCATGAAGGTCTTGGTCAGAGCCACCAATTTAACAAGGTTTGGCAGTGAGCTGGTAACTTCTCCCCAAAGGACGGTATATAAATGTTTTAAAAAAATACACTCTCCATGCCAAGCATATACCTGGTCTGTTTTAATTAAAATACACTTAATAAAGCTGAAGCCATACAAAATATCCTACACATTATAAACAGGGCACAAGACCCTATTGCTTCCCTGTAGTCCTAAATACATTTATCTCAGGGTATGCCTCAGCAAAGTCAGTGGGCCTTAGGTTGGTCTGAGTAGAAATGCACAGGATTGTGCTATTAAAATGACTGCTTCTTAGAATGGACTAAAAATGATTCACATTGGCTTGTAAGCACAGGTTAACTTTTTTTGTGGACTTGTAACCTTTACAGAGGTGGCTAGATGGAGTCACTGGGGCAGTGGGTGTGAGCTTGGGTGGACTTCGGGGAATGGTGGAGGACAGGAATGCCTGGAGGAATGTTGTCCGTGGAGTTGCAATGGGTCAGATGCAACTTCGCGACTAACAGCAATAACCTTTATGGGGTCATTATCAAGGCTGTCAGAACTCTTTTTAGGGAGTTGGGAGATCCCTTTACAATGAATTTCTCTTATTGTGCAAAAGTTTTCAAAACTGGAATTAAGAGTAGCTATCTGTGCTTTAGGGTATAATAATTCTATGTTTAGACAAAGACCTATAATTCCCATCATGCTCCAGTCACCATGACTGCAGTGCCCTTTCTCCCCTATGTAAACATGCAGTGGATTGCACATTCAATCAGCTGGTCTTACACCTTCAAACTCAGTCTGTCCAAGCTAATTCCTGCACCAGTATGTACTTTTAGAATAGCTCCAAACTCTCCCAACCAACCAGTAACACATTTAAGTAATCAAAAAACTGACATGGCATTTACTGTACTGCAGAAATTAATACAGATTCACCAGTCATCCAAACAATAAGGGTGCAATCCTATGCATGTTAAGACATACATGGCCAGCTGGGGCATGCAGGAAAGGGTAGATCTTGTTCTCTGTTTAAACATGCATAGAACTGCACCTTAAAACAGCTTTCCCCAACCCGGTGCCCTCCAAGAACGTTGGACTGCAATTCTTATCAGAGTTGCATCCCAAGGTATGCACTTGGCACCAAGGAGGGGAAATCAAGTTAATACATCCCACGTGCTTTAGCAGTGCCAGGAAGTGTAATGACAACGAAGTTTTTGGACAGCAGTTCCCATAATAGCTGACCATTGGCCGTGGCGGCAGAACAAATGGGATTTGTAGTCTAATACATCTGGAGACTACCCGGTTGCTTGCACGGGGAAACCGCTTGACTCTCTCTCTCATCAGGCAAGTGTTAAGAAGGGTCCCCAAGGCACTTCTTTCCAGTTCAGGTTAGGAAGCGCGCGTTTCTGCAAGTGGCGCATTAGGTTTTGGCGCTCCCACTTTTCCGTGATAGCGAAATCGACACGAGGAGGGGAAAGAACGACGATACGATCAGGGCACTTTCCGCCTGGCGGCAGGAGGCATCCTTTAGCAACTTCCCGCAATAGCATACCACTTTGACACGAAGAGAGAAGCGTCTTCGAAGAGAAAGAATCTAAAATGCCGCATCTGTCCCACCCGCTCGTCCCTTCTGGCCACAACCTACCTCAGGCATTGCAGATCCAAGCTGACGGAAAGTAAGCGAGCACTTACTTGACCAGCGACGGAGCCATCACACTTTGCAAAAGCCGTAAGTCTATTCTTTTACGTTAAAGCAACTCTCTACCCGGCTTCCGGTCGCTGCTCAACGCTGTCTCAAAGGACATCGGGAAATGTAGTCCAAGTAAGAAGTGTTCAGAAGGCCGGCCCCTTTTAAACAAGAAACCTTGCACCCACCCTCCCCTGGCACAAAAACGGAAAGGGGACCGGGGAGGAGTAATTCTCTTTGCAATCAGCTAATTTCCTCTATTTGGTAGATGAAGCTTTTCCCGTTATAGGAAAAGACCATCGCTCAGTAGTCAAGCACATAGATGCTTAGCGTGCTAATGGCTCAGGCTGAGTCACCAGTATCCCAGTGTGACTAGAAAGAGCTGTCTGAAACTCGATAGTCTTTGCCAGGGGTTTGTAAACGTCTGGAAAAATTGCAGTAAGCTGGCAAAGGACTCTGGCTCGCAATTACTTTACTGTAGTTGTCACAAAATGATTTTTCTGATTTAATTTAGTTGCTAAAATCCTGGGATGTGAAAGATCTGCGAGGTCTTTCCTGGCATTGTAAACAAACTCTTAGGCTCAGAATGAACTCAGAAGCACCCTGTTTTTCCATTCCATTTAAAGTGTGTGTCTTTTGTACCTGGTTCTGGTTGGGATTTTCAAAAAGGTCAAAGTAGATGTGACAAGGTCCACCCCTGTGCAGCAGTGGTTTGTTTGGTTTAAGGTGGCCTTCTGTGTTCCCACTTTGAGGAGGGAGCTTAGCTCAGTAGTAAACCATGGAGAAGGGATGTCCCAGGTGTAAGCCAACCATGGTGACTTGGCAATGACTCCTGCCTGAAACTGGAAAGCCACTACCACTCAGGATGGGTAGCAGAGCTGACAGATGGCACAAACAAAGTGCCCCGTGTTATGTGAATTGGTTTATTTTATTTATATCCCACCCTTTTTCCTTTCAAGGAACTCAAGCTGGGGTGCAGCTGGCACCTCAGGCAGTCCTCACAGGAAACAAAGTTGGAACAAGAATTGGTGTACTTGGAAAGCAATTTGGCTAATTTCTATGGAGGGTAAGCAGTTGAGTTACAGGGAAAAGTGCTGTTGTACCTGCAAAAGGAATCTGACTTAAGGAAGAAGTTTCTACCTCCCTCCCTCCATGAACACTTTGTACTCACAATTCATTGGATCAAGATTGTGTAAACTTAGACAAACTTTAAAAACAATTGGAGAAGGGATTAGGTACCCCAAAATCTGAATTCATGACAAATCTGGGAATCATTTGTGAGATTTGGGTTAAAATAGTAACAGGGATGCAAATGGCTCTGAAAGCTAATGTCATGTTTATGGGGAAAGCTGAGCAGTCATAAGCTGAGAAAATATCCTCAATTTAAGTGCCTCTGCATGCAGTTGGCCTAGTCTCTGGCACAATCCTGCTTGGTTGGCACGGGCATTATTTCCAGGGATGCGATGGACTTTGTTCTGATGCAGCAGAAAGTAAATTACTCAAATCTGTTTGGCTAGAGTCTACTATTCCCACATTTTCCTCTATTTGATAAGTGTTGGGGCATGAAGGAAACTGTAAACACTGAGGTCAGAGGGAATGGAAATCCAAAAACAGACAGTGAAGTTACCTTAAGAGTTGCCTTTCATAAAATGTTTGTTGGGTAATAATGCAGATTTCATTGCAGTAGAAAACAAACATAACAGTGTGATAAGAACAACTTTGTCCATCTTCAAATCATGGGAAATAGAACTGTATCTCTATGTGTATTTTACTTCAGGATTTCACACTGATATTTCCAAGTTCTTTTTTTCAGTAGTGGCCACCATCAAGTAATAGGGAGAGGTTGAAGTATTTCCCCATCAGATTTTGCATATGGCCATTTCTGACGTCATACTGTGCATTTTGCTTTGCAATTGGTCTGTTTGCCCTGTGTAGGGCAGGATTAGGGAAGCTCTAGTCCAGAGGCAGCCTGCAGAGGTCCCCCATCTGGCCTGCTCCAAAGTCCTATAGACAAACCCCACCCCATCTTCATGCAGACTTTTTGCAGCTGGTTCCACCATTTATTGTAGATAGTGGCAAGAATTCCCTTTTATGCACTGTCCCAATTAGTGTGGCGTGTAAAGCTGCAAGTAGTGCAGGAGCACCTGGAGGAGCTTCTTCAGCATCAGCTGGGTAGCCCTCATGTGCTGCTCACCACAGGGGATGGATCCTGTGTCTGTACTGCCATTGTGAGGGAGTTATTAGTGAGTAACCCGTTTATATCAGAAACCTACAGACCACTGTGATATGTAAATGCACCATTCAGCATTTGCAGCAAAATCCTACATTACAGCTGCATTTGTTCAAACTCCTCAAATTCATGACTTAAGGATTTTAATCAGGCATTTCTCAGACTACAGTGCCCACTTAATGAAGTGTGTGTGTAAGCAAGGAGGGAAACCAGAGTTCAACAGGGCTAGATTGGTACTCATACTATCTAGTAGAAGACATACCCAGAAAGTAAAACGAAAGAAGACAACTTGTCACCTACAGTTCCCAGGTAACCTCAGAGGTTGTAACTAGTGAACAGAGCAATACAACAGTGGAACCAGCTGCCTAGAGAGGTGGTGGGCTCTCCCACAGTAGAGAAACTGGACAGCCATCTGAGTGGGATGGTGTAACATGGTGTCCTGCAACAGCAGGGGGTTGGACCTGATGGTCTTCTTGGCTCCTTCCAACTCTTCTATTCTACGATTCTATGATCTGCTACAACTTGTATAATCAGGCTTCTCCTCACAGACTTCATTGCTAGGCCTGTATGTACTTATGGGGAGATGCTCAATCTAAAAAGGTTAATTACAAGAAACAACATATTTTGCATCAGACACACACACATACACACACAGCCTTTTTGATTGTAAGAAAAATTTAACAATCTAGTTAGTACTTCCTTAGGTCAACCAAAAGGTCGCAAAAGTTGTGTGCACTTCTGAGATCTCCAGATTTCTTCATGAGGCATGATATTGCGCCCCCCGCCCAAAAAAAGAAAAAAAGAAAAAGAAAAAAAAGTTTTGGCCAGGGTAGGTGGTGGTGGTGGAGGAGGAGAAAATAAGGAAAGAAAAAAAAATGACTTAATGACAAGTTCATAGAAATTATATGCTCAGAATTTCAAGATACAATGTAGAGGAGGGTTCAGTAGACATTGATCTGGGCTTAGCAGGTTAGTAAGGTGCAGCTAAGATTGCTGGGATCTAGAAAGGGAGAAATGATGGATCTACTCTTACAGAAAGCTATTTGTTATTCAGACACGTTTTCATTCCTGATGAAGCACACTGCCTCCTTTTTACTAGTGGATTAAAATGATTTGCTATGATTTGTGGAACTTTCTCCCTTTTGTTCTCTCTCTCTCTCTCTCAGTGAAAGCACACATCTTCTTTTACTTTGCATTTCCTCTGATGTTAAATAGGGAAATTGTCTAGATAAGATACAATTAGTCTTTTCTCTATTTGTTGGCATGTCCGTTTTCAAATGCTTTTAACTGATTTGTTTGTTTCAGAGCAGGCAGTTGTGACTATAGGCAATTACTTCCACAGGTGCAATGTTAGAATTGTGACAGTGAGCTGGTGCTACATAGCAATACAAAAGCATTGGGCTGCCCACTTTTCAATTGAGCTTTAACCCGAATGTACCAATCAGTTATTAACTCCATGCCACTAAAAATACCACTTCTGGACCTATCTGAATGTTAGTCTGTTGCTGCAAAAACAGCGAAGTCTCGTGAAACTTTAAAAACTAACGTAATTGTTAATACAAAGCTGTTCATGGGTTACCGTTAATTTAGTTAGATGTATAAACTGTAGAGCTGAGTCACAAGTATATTCAGTGAGCAGAATATTTGCTGTTTTAAGACCAGAGTTAAGGCTATATCATATTAGCTCAAACAGCACAAGGCCAGGGAATTGGAAGCTAAGATTGATTCTATAACAGATGTGATCATAATATTATAGCACAATGCCACCAATTCTGCTTGTATATAACTTACTTTGCATGCACCCACACTTTTCCTTGGTCTTTCAGATTCATGTGCAGATAGAGAGGATGGTGACTAGCAAAGATGCCCAATATTGTCCTGGTCCTGTATTGCTTAATGAAGCAACTGAGATTTATATTGTTGCTAGAAGAATACTTCTGTAATCGGGATGTTTGTTTGTTGGTTCTAAGCAAGCACAGTTTCTGACATTCCATGATAACATTACTGATCACAGGGCATGTCTCTTAAGGTAACAGTTTTGCAAGTTCCAGCTGGTCTTAAAATGGCACGGCTTTGCTCGTATAATTGTCCTGGTTTTTCAAAATGATGTGTATTATTACAGTATTCTGAGAAATATTGAAACACAAACTAAAAAAACAAAACACTCACCATTGTTTTGAGTAGATATGTATAAATGAATTGCCCTGTGTGTGCAGAACAGCTTACTCCTGATTAAGTCTGCACAGAATTCAACAGCTTTTTCCTTCCCCACTGCCATCTCTTCATCTGTGTCCTGTCAATCACTAAGAATGATCCTCTCAACCTTCAAAATTAGCTCACTTCCCTGATACTCTCCTGCCTGCCACTGTAAGAATGCTGACAGGGATAACAGAATTCCAAACATGGGAGTACTAGCGGCATTCTAGCTTCGGAGCAAAAGTGAGCATACTCAACATACCTTAACCAGCATTTGCTGCCTTAGTCTTTCAGGGGATAGAAAAAACATGGTAACTTTTAAATCACTGCTCAGAACTTAACAGAACTGATGAAAGGCATATCTCTGTGATAAACCTGAAAAAGTTCATCACTAGCTTACCCTAGAATTTGAAATGAATATATGATATGTTCATTTGCAATAACAGTTAAAAGTTTAGGTTTATCACTCTTTTACTTTTTATGGGTTAGGGTAATATTGGATTGCTTTGAAATTCTAAAAATTATAGTCCTTATCAAATAGATTATGGATACATATTTCAAGCAATTAGTTCTACAGCTGTCAATTTAGTAAGTGAGACCTATCATGTGTTTTTTATAACTTGGCTTAGCTAAATGGTAATTCCTGTGCTCCTGTAATATACACCTGGTTGGAAACTGATCATGAGGTCTCTAATCTTGAAAAAAGAAACTTCAAAGGGAGACTGTGAGGTGTAATTACTGAATTACAATACATTAAGAACGGAGTTAAAGTATGTCTTATTTTAAATCAGACTAGTTAATACATTGGTGTTCATTAATTTACCTAATTGTTGTTGTTGTTAGTCGCAAAGTCATGTCTGATCCAACATGACCGCATGCACAACATTCCTCTAGGCTTTCCTGTCCACCATCCCTGGGAGTCCACCCAAGCTCTCACTCACTGCCTTAGTGACTCCATCTAGCCACCGCATCCTCTGCTGTCCCCTTCTTCTTTTGCCATCAGTCATTCCCAGCATCAGGGTCTTCTCCAATGACTTGTTCCTTCTCATTAGGTGGCCAAAGTATTTGTGTTTCATCTTCAGTATCTGTCCTTCTAAAGAGCAGTCAGGGTTGATCTCCTGTAGGACTGACTGGTTTGATAGGCTTGCAGTCCAAGGGACTCGCAGGAGTCTCCTCCAGCACCACAATTCAAAGGCCTCAATTCTTCGGCGCTCAGCCTTCCTTATGGCCCAAGTTTCACAGCCATACATTGCAACTGGGAAAATCATAGCTTTGACTACTTACCTAATTACAAAAGTCTATGTTTTCTGATAATTTTTTGTAAATGGCTATTGCTAATGAAAATTGTCACTGTCTATATATTTTCTGTATTTCCTTTTCCTATGACTGACTATTTATTCTAATTATTCAGTAGAATGGGCCTGTTAGACAGCAGCTCAACTTAACAGGATTGCTTTTGAGGAAACAGCAGGGGTGGGCAAACCAAGGCTTGGGAGCCACATGTGGCTCTTTGAGTTTATTTTGCAGCTTGAAGCTCACAGCCTGTGGGCACCTGCTTGTGGCTCTTAAACATCAGACTTCTACCATATGTGGCTCTTCCGTTGAGCAGGTCTGGCCACCCCTGTTATAGAAGATCAAGTGTTAAAACACTGTTTCTGTGTTTGCCTATTGTTATTTGTAGTTATTGAGTTTACTGGTTCAGGAGGACAGTATGTTATCTGGATCATATAATCATTATTTTGGATCAAAGTTGTTAATGTATGTGCTGTAATTATTTTTAAAATTATTTGAGAAAGCATCACCACTAAGCAATATATATCAGGTCTTGCAAAATAAGTATCTAGGTCTATGGGCTAAAGAATATTTCTGTTACTTGGTATGCTGGGAGGAATTCTTGGCATTTTAATTTGTATTTGGGCATAGCTGAATGAAGCACTGCAGCTATCTCAGATCAATTCAAAGCAGTTTTTGTGTTAATATATGTCCTAAAGAAGCCAGGATTGTCTCATTCACACACCAACCTTTGCTATAGGAGGTTCGTAGTTTTCATTTAAATAGCTTGAACATGTGTACCTGGAAGATGAATATACAAAAGGTATAAGCTGAATTTAAGCATGACTAATAATGTTGTTTGGTGAATTGTTTGTTTTGGCTTACAGAAAAGTAATGACTCCCAGCTGCTGCCATCCTCATTTTCCATGAATAGCTCTGGCCTGCATAGGAGGCTTAGAGTCATTTTTAGGAAATGAACATAGGAGGCCATAGGCTGACAGTTTCCTGCCCAGAGAGCTTTGGCTGTTGGGTAGTATTGAAGATGACGACGATGATCTATCTAGCAGTGTTGTGGACAATATGCAGAGGAATGCATCTAAAATGCTCTATATTCTTTATTTACTATTAAAACCTAAGATCATGGGATTCTCTTAGATGTTTGCAATTTAAGGCCAGGGCTATAGACAATCCCAAAAAAGCAAATAAGAACAAAATTGTCAGTGAAAGGCAACCAGTTTGTGTTTTTTCATGTTTTCTCAATAGCGTAAGTAAATATGTCGAGGAGATAGGCAGGGTGATACCCATGAGCTCCAGTGTACCCCCAGAAATTTCCTTTGGTTCCATGTGGTGGCCCCATTTTTAATTTATTCTTTTTAACGATCTTCCTAACGGGTAGGATTGCTTCACAGCAAAGTGAGGACCACTAGCTGCTGCCATTAATTTTCCATTAATGGCTGTGGGCCTGTTTGTAGGTTGAATAGGTGTGGAATGCATATGTGAGGGTGTGTGAGAGAAAGCTGTTGGGAGCAAGAGAACAAATTTTAGAAGTGATTCATTGAATGGAGATTCTGGAAAGACCTCGAAAAAGCAGTTTTTCATGTGCTTGCAATGAGAAAAAGGGAGGGGATTATGTTATGGGAGGTGATTTCAAATGCATTAAAAATGGGGAGAGATGGGGAGGGAAAGATTTACTTTCTTTTATTAAGGTTTCTGTTGCCATAGAAAACTCTGGATTTGAAGGAAGAATTTTGCTTGTTGGTGCGCAGAATCCATTTCTTCGTCAGTCTTTTGGGCTGGTTATTTCTCTTGTGATTAACTGCACCTCACATGGCAGTCATTTTTGTGAAGATGCTCAGAACATTTTTTCAGATTGCCAGATATGCACTCAAAGCAAGGAGATCTCTGATGTGCAGCACTGTATAAGCAGCCAGCAAAGACGTCTAACACAGTTCAAAGTGTTGTTGTTGTTAGTTGTGAGATGCGGCCGACCCATCGTGACCCCATGGACAACATTCCTCCAGGTCTTCCTGTCCTCCACCTGAACAAGTATTGTGAAACACATGATTTACATTTCTTGTTTTCTCTTCCCACCATTCATTTCACAACTGCTTTTTTATTACTAATATGTTAAAGCAAAGAAACAAAAGTCCTTGAAAAACCTTAAACAGAGAAACTACTGAGTATATGCAGTTCTGTATTTGTGTGCTATGAAGTGCCTAGAAAGCTTCAGCTGTTGGACAGAAAAGAATAAATAATAAACTGACTTAATTTGTGACTACAGAAATAAAATTGCTTCTGTTGCCTACAAGCTAAACACGTTTGAGAAAAAGCATTATTTTGTTGTAGAAAATAAAATTCTATTAAGTAATACTGGTGAAGGACTCAGAAGGTGCCTAGGTTGGAAGATGCGCCTTCTAAGTAGTTTTACATTCATCCTTTCCTGCAATGTGCAGAAATAGAAATGTTAGAACCTCTTATTCTCTTCATTCAGCTTTTCTAGTTCGTGGGACTACATTTCCCGGTCGGCTTTAGGAGGAACTACGGGTGACGTCACGGGAAGTGAAGCGCAGACTTCTTCCGGTAGCTCGTAAGCCCCGAGTGGAGCCGAGACCCAGCGGAGCTTGAATCCCGATAAGACAAGATGGCCGGGCTACCCCGCAGGATCATCAAGGTATCCGCTTTTCTTCTCTTCCCGCCTGCTTCCTCCTCCTCCCGCTTCCTCCTCTTGCCCGGCGGAGGCTGGAGGTAGGCCTCATACGCCCTCTTGCCTAGGCCGCGGGAGCCCTGGGCAAGGGCTGAGGGGAGCGCGACGCTTCCGGTGAGCGGGACGAGTGGTGGTGCCCGCCCCGCTTCCCGTCTTCGCCTCTGCAGGGTGTGGGGGACGAAGGCCTGGAGGCAGCGATAGCAAACATCGCCGTTCGAGGCCGGCGGGAGGGCGGGAATGTGGGAGTGACCGACTGAAGTGTGCGTGACGGGCAGGCAGAGGGGGTGGCGGCATTCCGCGCGCCTGCTTGCCGGGAATGAATGGGCGTCGCGGACAGCGGCTGAAGCGCTCCTCCGCCCCTCTTCCGGGCCTGGGTCCCGAGGCGCTCTTCACCCTGCAAGCTGCAACGCTGGCTCGGCTGGCGGCCTTTCCGCAGCCGGCAGCCCCCGCTAAGAACGTAAGGAGAGCGTCCCTCCAGACCCTCGTTCCCCCCTTCTCTCGCTCGCTGTCTTACTCCATCACCCGCGGCGTGCAGGGAAAAGGCAGGCGGCGGTGACAGGTCGCGCGCTCTCGCTGGGCGGGTGCGTGTGACCTGGGGATGGGCCAGGCACGCTCACGAAACCGCAGCCCATGGGAAGGTACGGCTGAATGCTCTTACATGCATGAGCCCTTGTAAGCACCGTTCGTCCTAGTAGCAGCAGCAGAATTAAGAGCCCCCTGCTTGCTGTCCGAGGAATGTCTTATTTGCTCTAGAGTAACACATTTACTCTGGGGTGGAGAGTGCACCCTTTTCATACGCAGGGTCGGTGGTAGGGAGAGAAGAGATTTGGTCAATTAGAGGTGACTCAGGAGTCCCTGCCTAAGTCACAGTTACACAGCTTGCCAAGCCTCTGCTCCAGCTCCTCCACCCCGTACCAGTGATGTCAGATAAATTCAGATTTTTGTGCTCAACTATGTTTAGGGTGTTTTAACTGTGTGCTGCTTTTAACCCCTTCCGAAGTGTACACAATTTGTTCTTGGTTCCTAGGATACTACCATGTTTGGCCTAGTTCACCTCCAGCTTTATCTGTTATATTTAAATTTTGCCTAAGCACAAGGCAGCTTATACAGTCCTGTTGTATTCGAAGAAAACTTTTGAGGTGTTTTGAAAGCTAGAAATGCTTTCACTTGATTTAAAAGAAAATAACTTTATTTCTTCTGTATTTTGGGTGTGTCTTTTAAAGATTTAATCCTATGTAGTATGGATTGATACAAGAACATGTATTAGTATGAGGAGCAGCCCCGACTCCCAGATGCTGTAGGTGGAGGTGGTAGAATGGGGCAAAAAGGAGCGCCACTGGCAGGCAGGAAACACATCTTTTGCAAGCAGTTCTACCCACATAAAGCAATGAGGGTGCTATATAGGGGATAGATATTGAAAGCCCCCAAAGCTGGATATTCTGGAGGTGGAACAAGAGTGATCTTGTATTTGTTGGATCCAGAGGTCCTTTGTTGGTGGCAGAAGCCCAAGGATCAGGCTCTTCCCCTTTCTCTCCCTGTGCCAGCCTGAAACAGCCATAACTAAATTTGTCTCTGCCTGCATTGGTTTTCAGGGGAATTTAAGTCGGCTGGCCATTGGGGCATAGTAAGCTGACTCCTGGCTAGTGTAAACTAGCAGGGTTTTGGAAGTGTCAAACAGCCCACCGTTTTTCTCTTTCCCACTTTGGATTGTGCTGTAAATCTGCTACAGTAGTCGATTTTAATGTTCAAATTACATTTTGTGGCCATGAAGGGCTTATAGATAGTAATCAGACTTAGCCATATTCAGAAAAGTTTGGTAGCTATCTACACACATTCCAGTGTGATTTTTTCTTATGGAAAGGATAATTGTGAGCCATCCTGAGAGATTGGCAGCCGTCCCGAGATGTCATGCATAAGGGACAGCATATAATTTTTTAAAATAAATAAATAATGATTGAGGGCAAATGCTCAGTTCTCATGATGAAATAACTCTTCAGTATAGAAGTTTTTTCCAGTTGTGCAACAAGTCAATTTGTTGATCAGTTCATATTGCTAAAAAAAAAACCAATCAAATTTGCATTGGTAATTGCACTTAACAGCATATTTTCTACTGAGTTTAGGGGCACTTGGAATAAGTTTAGAAATGGGCTGGTAACTTTGAGTCTGTTGGCAAATAATAGTATAATATAGTTGAATGAGTAACAGTGGGAGAGGGCTATAGGCTTCATGTCCTACGTTGGGCTTCCCAAAGAAATCTCAGTAATGTTGGGAAGCAGAGTTCCTCTCAGTTTCTGTACACTTAAGTTAACATTAATTATACTCAGCCATGTTGAAAAGATAGTGTTCAGTATTTATCTTCAGATGTGTATCCCAGCCATCTGAAAAAAGCTTATTTTACTAATTTAGTTTATGTTTATTCCACTGAATTCAACAGGAATTGTTTAAATGTGAATAGAAGTGTGGACTATGATTATAATGCTGGTTTTAGATATGGAGAAGAAGAAAGAACTATGCAAGTTACTGAAACCTAGCCACTAAGCACTGGACTCTTTAACTTTATTTCTGAGACTTTATCAGGCATTGTATATCTGCTATCCAGGGAGCTTCAGTTATTGGGCAGGATAAAAATGTAATCAATTTTGGGAAAATTAAAACTAATGTTCTCTGGAAGTGAATTCTAACCTAATTTCAAACTTACATCAACTGATTCTAATGTTTAAACACTATTGTTTTTCTACAATTCCCTGCAAATACAAGAATGGTTTTAAAAAAACTGAGTACACCTTGGTGACTCTCATGCTGAGTTTTAAATAGATTTACGTATCTTCCCTTGTTAAAACAAGGCAGAAAAATTCACAGGACTCTAAAACATGGATTCTGGTACCTAGAAATAAATGATTTTCCAGTTATCCTAAAACCGTTTAAAAATAACATACTAAGGAATAACTTTCACTAATCTTCACTGACTAAATACAGCTTAAACAATTCGCATTGGAGCAATTAGCATTGTCACAAATAATTGATCTACAACTTGTAGGGTTTCAGTGCTTACTATTTTATTTAGCACATAACACAGATAATTGATACAGGCTGGAATAAGGCTATATAATTAATTTATTTGCAAGTATTATGTCATATTGCTACATAATGATACTGTTTTTCAAATCCTTAAGAGAAATTGTATAACAAATGGCTAAAATTTGGACATATGCTGATTCAGCCACAAGGGAGGAGCAAGGGAGAGGACAAGGAGTTCTACAAAGAGAACTCTGCTTATAAAACATTAGACATAAACATACTTATACTGTATTTTATGCCAGATAGAGACAACACTAAGTTTTGCTTCTTGTCCTTAATAAGATGTGTGTTATTCAATTAGTCACCTTTAGTAAGATAATATGGTGCAATATATCAGAATGTGTTGGATATAACAACCCTAAAATCAAGCTGGATTATTCGTGGTATATAACTCTTTTAATACATAAGCTAATTTAAGGGGTACAAGATGAGGGGGATACACACTGAAATAATTTTAAAGTAAGATGTGAGAGCTGATGGGAGTTGGTGATTCTAGGTCTGTGACTCAGGCTGAAGTGGCAAGAAAGAGTAAAATGGCTAATGACTGAGCAAGCAAACAGGTGATTAGAAATAAGATCTGCAACAGTGACTACTCATGTATGACAGGTGTTTGGTAATCTCAAGCTCTTGACTTCTGGCTGAGATCTAATAATAGCTCTGTCTCCTTTAAAAGTTACAGAGGTGTGGAAAGAAGGGATCAAATGTTATGTGAACGGTAAACAGAGCTGAGAAAATGATCAGTAGGCAGCTAAAAGGCGGGAGACTGAAAGGTATCTTGGTTTTTGCTGCATCTCTAGCAATTTGATTGTTATACTCCTGGTTGCTGTGTGGAACACTAAGTAGCACAGTCTGTGCCTAGAGGGCAAATTGCATGGGCTGGGGAGGAAGAGTGGGAAAGGGCAACAGATGGGAATTTTCCTCCAGTTTTGTGGAAAAAATTGGATTGTTTGTTATTAAACTTAAACTTCCATTTAAACAGATGGAATATATTTTACACTGTCTAGTTTATCATGGGTAATAGAAAAAGTATATCAGTAACTATAAATATTTATTTAAATATTAGGGTCCTGAGATCAATATCACTCTTCACAGGGGAAACTGCTTGTGGAACTAAGGAATATTTCCAAAGCTGTTTATGATGTAGCATGGTACTCTGTCATCTAACAACAGCAACAAAATCCACTGGGTCTCCTAGCACAAGCCCTTTGAGCCAGAGCAGTCTTGGGATTTCAACCCAATGGTTAGACATGAATTTAAAACTTGCTGTACTCCACAGTGTCAAATCACTCTTAAATTTTACAGGTTGAGAAAACTTTGTAGAGGTACTGGGGGCTATTAACACTGCAATAAACAAAAGGCTTAGAAGTTTGGAGACTTCCTTGTTCTCTCAAGGAAATAGCTTTCAGAAACAAACCTGGAAAACAAATATCCCTATAATGCTAGAGTAGGCAGTTTGAAAAGATCTGGGGCCACTTTCCACTCCCAGGATTCTGCCATACTGCCTCGGGCTGCATTCCTGCTTTATTGCCAATAGCAGCAAACAAACAAACAAAAAGAATGAAATTATTTTTTTTTACTAAATTTAGCCGTTTTGAAGCTCTGTAGCACTTTTCTGCCACATTTTGACAGCACCCCTTAATTCAGTGGTGGGGACTACAGAAGAAGTGAAGGCCACATGAGGCCCACTCCTGCTATAATATAACTAAGGAACAGCAATAACTAGCTATTTGGTTGTTCCATAACAAAGTTAAGCTCTTTAGTAGTATATCAAACTCAGGTATGCAGTTCTTACATGTACTAGAGAGTAAACTCC